AAATTGGCAAATGCTTCAAACGAGGTTTTGATTTGTTTTGTTGATTGTATATACTTAAGAAAGTGAATGAAGAAATATTAAAAATACAAATTCAGCTCAAAAATATGTCATTTTTTTCTTAGAGCCAGAGAGTTAAGCCACTCCTGAAGGCAGACTGTATTGATATTCCTTGTTTTCATTTATTAAAATGTAAAAATGTGTACATTATCAAGTAAGGTATAATTCCCTTTCTTCTTTTTTTTTTTCTTTTTTTTTTTTATATTATCAAAAAGTTCACTCTCTGTTCAGGCCTAAACTACCAGTTAAATGCTTCCTGATAAAGCCTTCCTTCAGTCATTTACAGTTGTGTTCAATTGTTTATGAACCAATTTGAGTTTTCTTGGCAAAGATACTGGAGTGGTTTGCCATTTCCTTCTCTTAGCTTATTTTCCAGATGAGGAAGCTGAGGCAAACAGGGTTAAGTGACTTGCCCAGGGTCACACAACTAGTAAATTTCTGAGGCCAGATTTAACTCAGGAAGGTGTCTTCAAGCCTGGTACTCTATCCACTGTGCCACTTAGGTGCTGCACCAATAGAGCTTTTGTTACTTTTAACTTTTGCAGGAATTTTTAATCCCTTAATCTTACTTGATCATCACATTAATACCAGCAATGATATAGTAGAAGAGACACCAGAAAGGAAGGCAGGTCTGGATTCAGAACTCCATTCTGCCTCTGTGATCTCTGTGTGATATTGAGCAAGAGATCTAAGGCCTTTTTTACCTCTAGATATTAAATGGATGGGAGTGTTACTGTGAGAATTATCCTTATTTTATAGATGAGGAAATTTAGAGATTGAGAAATGAAATAGCCTACCCAAGCTAGATGGTGGTAAAATTGTGAGTAGAAGAACCCAGATCACTAGACCCCTGGCCTAGTGCTCTTATGCCCTCACATGCCCTTTGAATACATATACAGAGACAGAGTCAGTCAGAAAGACAGAGAGCAGGCAAGTCAATGCAACTTTTTCTGTGTTACTGAACTGTTTATATTCTCCTATTTCAGGTTACAGGTCTTAAGTCTCTGAATTGCTTTCTCTGGAAAGTATTTGTTAACTATCATGTATGGGATTAGCTATTTAACTAGTTCTAATCTTTTGATTCTCATTTCAAAGACAATCATTTAAATTGGATTTATAAGTTTTATCTCACTTTGAACTTTGATTGGAAACCGCACCGATACAGGCTCCTATGAATTTCCTTGAAGAACCTGATGGTATCTCTCCTCCTCCTCCTCCTTCTCCTCCTCCTCCTCCTCCTCCTCCTCCTCCTCCTTCTTCTTCTTCCTCTTCCTCTTTTTTGTTAACTACTTCAGTAAAATGACTCAGGTTCTCCAAGGAGAATGCAATACAGATTTTGTTATTGCTGCATATAAATGACTAGTACCTTTGGTATGAAGGCTGTCAAGCCCTTTTCAGGGATGCTTTCCATGTTTGATGTCCACCTATTCTACCTAACTCTCACATAATAAAATCACAGATGGAATCATGGAGAATCAGACACAACTAAAATGACTGAACAACAACAAACATAATCTACAGCAGACTTAACTTCAAAAGAAAGCGTAGAGTACTAATCTACAGAAGATATGCCATGCTACAGGTTTAATGAACCTTGGATAATGTGGACCATAACCACTTGGATAATGTGGACTATCAAAAAGAGATTTTCCCATAACCTAAGAAGCAAAAAAACAAAAACAAAAACAAAACAAACAAAAAAAAACCCCAAAACAAAAAAAACCACCTTGATGATTCAATGGTGAAGATTGTTAAAATTAAGATTTTTTTAAAAATTATTACATAATCAATGGAAATGAGAGAGATTTGGAGTAAGCAAAAATGCATAAAATCACTTTCATGTATTTTTCCCCTCAAACTGAGTGGATGTATCTCTCAGTGCTTTAAACCCCTCTGTCATTGGTCTTTCCCTTCTTGCCTCCGGAAAGATGAATCTTCATACTTTTTGATGATCCCTGAATCAGAGAACTATGCTTGATGAATTCTTAACCTCCAGAATTAATACCTGAGAAACTGCAGAATTCAGAATGTAGCTTACTGTTACAGATTTAGAATTATAGACTGGTATGCATATTTTGTTTGCTAATTTACTTTTGCCTATTTAAAAAAAAAAACAGTATTTAAATGCTCTAGGGAAGTCCATAATTTAAAAGAATCTTATAATGAGTTTTTGCATAATAATATTCATCTCCCTCTCCACCTTATCCCCAACCTCATCTGGTATAAGGGATATGGCCTGGTCCTGTAATTTCATTGGAATGTGAAATTCCGCTGAACAAATGAGATCTGGGAAAGGAATAAACATTCACACAGCAACTGCAGGCACTGTGCTAAGCACTTTACTATTAGCTCATTTGTCTTCACAATCCCACAAGGCAGGTGCTGCTATTATCTCTATTTTACAGATGAGGAAACTGAGGAACATAGAGGTTTAAGTGACTTGCCTGGGGTCACACAGCTAGTGAGTGTCTGAGGTCACATTTGAACTCAAGTTTTTCTGGCTCCAGCAGCTCAGTGAATAGAGTTCCAGGGTATAAGATGTGTTCAGAAATGACTAGTACCTTTGGTATGAAGGCTGTCAAGCCCTTTTCAGGGATGCTTTCCATGTTTGATGTCCACCTATTCTACCTAACTCTCACCTGTGGCTTCAAGATGCTGTAGTATGCACAGTGGTCACACCCTAGCAAACTGTTTCAGCGGACAGGCTAACCCAGGTCATGAGTAACTGAGAGGTCTCAAATCCTTTGGTGAATTAGGGGGGTGTCTACCCCAAGCATGTGAAGACTTCCCCTGGTGGAATGGGAGGAAAAGAACAATCTGTTCCAATGGCCACGAAGACAGCTGAAGCAGGCACTGTGGAGTGCTTAGAGATTGGCTAGACATCGAAGATGCCAATGTCATCCACTCCATCTTGAGTCATGACCAGTCATCTTGATTCTGTCCTGCCAGTGGACTGTGATAACTCTGGAAGAGAGAGTGAGGCAGAGGACTTTTTGCAACTCTGCCTCAATTCAATCTAATTTACATACCTATCAAAAGACATCACCCATACCATTTAAGTGGTGTCATTTTGGTCCTCTTTGAGAGCGAAGGACAACAACCAAGAAAGAGTGCCAGGCCTGGAGTCTGGAATAACTGAGTTTAAATCTGGCCATGTGACCCTGGGCAAATCACTTCACCCTATTTCCTCAATTTCCTCGTCTGTAAAATGAACCAGGGAAAGAAATAGCAAACTACTCCAGTAGCTTTGCCAAGAAAACCCCAAAAAGGGTTGGACATATAGAAAATGACTAAACAACCTAACAAATCTTCCTGACTCCAGTTCCAGCTCAATCCACTCTGAAACTTAACTGCCTCAACTTTGTCACTTTTTTTTTTTTTGGTCATTTATACTCTTAATGAATTGCCTGGGCCCCTGCCAGCTTAAGCAACTTGCTCAGGATTACATAGCCAGTATGTTTAGCAAATGGGACTTGAACCTACATCTATTTACTTTATTTAAAGCAAAGTACAATTGTACACCCATATCTCTGTTGAACTTTTTTATTTTGTTAATTTTTTACTTTTTCCACTACCATGACATTGTGGTATTCCCAGACTTTTACGAATAAACTGTAAGAAAATGGAACAATCATAAAATTCTACATGCTTCTATTTTTAAGACTAAAGAACCCTGAATTTGGCTAGACCCCAAATATCTTTTGCATATGTTCAATATGTCTTAGACTACATATTTTGAAAACCCAGTTTGTTGTTTGGTTTTGGATTCTCTTCCTAGATTCTTAGGACAGTGATTCCTCTCTCTATTTGCACGAGAATTTAAAAGTACATTAAGGAGACCTCGATGTACCTAAATACCAAAGTTGGAAGAGACTAAAGGTTAATCCAGTGATAATAACTAGTTTTAACAGAGTCTAATGAACTAAAATTCTACATGTTGCCTTAATTCATGGTTAGGGGTTAGGAAGGTTTCTATATGACTAGCCTTTTTGTGAAAATGACTATTTTATTTCTTAAGGCTTTTTCTAGAGAAATCCTATGAGTTTTTTTAATTTAAGATCCTTCCATTACAATGTCTATATCTTTGTGTTTGGATGATATAAATTCAAATGAGCAATTTTCCTTTGAAAACCTAATAATCAACATAATAATTGAATAATACTTAAAATGTCTTTATTTATTTTAATTATTTTGTTCCAATATCACTTGATGGTAGCAAAATTTTAGAAATAAATCAACATAGAATTTGGCACTTTCTGAACATGGGACTATAACAAAACTCAGATGATGATATCTTGGCTTAAGTATTTGGAGGACATTTTTGCAGATTGAATTGTGCTTTTTAGCTTCTATGAAACAAACAGAACTTGATAAATACATAAGGACTTCCAGTTGGAACAATAGATCATTTTCTTTTTTCTGGATCTGTATTTCATCCTTGCTAATTGATAGTCTTTCCAGCTATTAAAAAAAAACTGCTTTAACTAAATAAATTTTGATTTGTGAAATTATAATAATACACTTCAATGGATGTAAAATGTATAAATTCTACAATAGGTATCTCACCATCTTCATGACACAGCTTTTGAAATCTAAAATAATATAAGGAAGTGAGTTAATAGCTGCTTGTTTCACACCCCCAAGCTTCTGCATTTGAATTTATAACTGTACAACAGAACATATTATTAACAGCTCAGAAACTAAGTTCCCCTTTGTCTGCCTGGCCCCTGACTTACTTGGATAGGAATTTTACTAAAAGGAAAAAAAAATGCTGTTCTTAGTGTTTACTATGAGATATAGGTAATAGGTCTTTGTCAGGCCATAGCAATACAAATCTTTTTTTTTTTTTTTTTAACTGGCAACAAACTGGGATCTGACGTCTTCTTGAATATTTAAACTCTCTCACAGTCTTTAGTGGATGTTTTTTCAGTGTGAGGATTTAACTACAGTTGCCACTTGACCCTAATGAGCACTGTATGAACAAATGCTGTAATAATCAATTGAAATTTCATTCACAACTTTTCAAAGGTAAGTCTTAGGTTACTATATATAAATCTGTTAAGTAAGGGATTTTCCCATCTTCCAGCAGACAGTGGGACATAAAGCGTCCCTGTAAATGCTTTAAAAGAAATGTGAACAATTTTTAACTGTTACTGTTTTCTTCTAAATCTCTGAGTTGGAAAGAAACATTGTACATTATTTTTTGCAGTGTCCAACATTTGCTCCTAATTTTCTGAAGAAAAGGAGCTACTTTGTAATGCACTGCAAATCTTTTCACAGGATATACTAAGAAATTTAATACTTTTTTTGGTCTAAAGCCAACCACATTTCACCTTCCTATGACTTAAGATTCTTTATCATGGAAATGGCATTGCAAATATATGATCTTAATGTCAGATACTAATGTCGTGTGCTAAGTAATACATTTTAGAAAACACATTCTATAAGTCATGCAATGGAAATGTTTTAATAAAAAATACTTTAACTTCAGAGGAATAGGATTCAAGCTCTGTCTTTGTAAACTACCTCTTATGTGACATTGAGCAAATCACTTCTCTGGGCTTCAGTCTCCTCCTCCATAAAATGACCCCAAAAATCCTTCATTGTTAAATCTATTATCCTAGGTGTTATAGTTTAATATATATTTTTCTTGATTTTAATTTTCATCAACATATATCTATTATGGTGAAAAAGTAATCTATCTGCTATTGCTTAGTTTTATGTATTACTTGTTTACTCATTTTAATGGCAACATATCAACCTGTACTGTGTGATTATTTAATGCTTGACATCAGCAATAGTTTATTAATCTATCTGAATTGTATAACTCTAGCAGGAGTGGACTCTGATGAGATAACTAATTCAATGTGTGCTTGAGTAAGTTTTTTCATAGTTAAGCATTAACAAGTGGATAGAAGCGCTACTGATTTACAATCCTAGTAGCAATATGTTATACAGAATTGATGTAAATTTAACTCTTTGTGTGACTACATACACCAAGCTAACAAAAAAAAAATAGATGTTTCTCTTGAAGCCCATACTTTCCTTCATATCCTTCGATAAGAATTTTTTTTTAAAGAGTTTGAACAAAGGTGATGCCACTTCAGAAGAAATATTTAGGAAACAGTGATAATTCAGCCCAGTTGCTATCTTTACACTAGAGCTGTTACAACTTGGATTTAAGAATGGATAGTTTCAGATATTTTCGCAGATACATAAATTGAGCTTGATTAGTCATTTGCATGATTTTGTACCCTATTAAATAAATGGAGCTAAATTTTTAACCAAGTAGAGTAGATTTATAGATTCTGGCTTTAATTTTAAAAAATCTCAAGCTCCAAGTTAAAAGTTGAAAATGGTGGTTATGTTAGCTATGCAGTGGGGTAATGAAAGTGATCATGGAAAATTCATGAATCTTTATTTAGCTTACTAGATCACTTGATTATGATACTGCTTCTCCCCCACTTACCCCCTCAATAGCATTGAATAACAAGGTGGTGTAGTGAGTGAGGTAGCCATTGTATAGTCACAGCTGTGTTTGGACAAAATGTACAATCATTAATGACATTTGTCTAGAAAGCTGAGGTTAACACCCTTATTTGTGTATGTATTGTATTGTGTATGTATTGTGTATGTGTAATGTATTAATTTGATTTCAACATTTGTTCTAAATTCCTGCCTTAGAGTCTTCTATAACAATATTCCTTTGTATTCTGATCAAGTTTTTGGGAAGATTTCTCCTTTCCCCCACCATACTACATAGGGAGATTAATATGAATATTCTGACAGAATACCTGTACATGAAAGGGTTATTAGTCACGTCACTGAATTTTACTTTGTTTTCTACAAATATTTCACAGTTTATGTGCACATAGATGTATGGATTCAGTTATTTTTCTTTAACCAGGATGGAACACCCATAATGATCTATTAGATTCGTTCTGCAACAAATCCTGCTATTATTCCAGAAATGATTGTAAAGCCCCTTTCTTGCCCATGCATAGTAGTTCTAGAGTGGAGGTCCCCTGGGGACCAAGTATAGCACCAATTGTACTAGAGTGTAGCACCTCTCTTCATCAAAGAGCAGGCGGAACCAGCAACAGAATTTTGTCAAGGACCTTCCATTTTAACCAAAGGTGTAGAGGGCAGTGTGCATTCCCACATAGTGTAGAGTTGACCTGTAGCTTAGGTTTGGAATCACTTTCTCTTAGACTAAGTGTTAAGAGCCCCTTTTAATGATCTCATCTCTGACTAGAACTAGTATTAGAATACAGGTCTCCTGATTCCTAACTTGCCACTTTTCACATCATTTTTTTGTTGCCTTTCAGAAGGAAAGTCCACATATATGGACTATATAAACAAGTACATACAGAGGTTTGATACAAAGGAACAGAAGAAGAGGAATTGATATCAAACTATTTTTAGTAAATTATTTTCAACATATTGAATTCCAAACGTTTGACTAAACTCAACTTTTTTTGTTTATTTTCAAAATAGCCAGTTATTTGAATAAATATAACTTTTCAAATTGGGTTGTATGTGTCAAAATAGTCAAAGTATGTGAAGCAAGCAAGACTGGGGAGAAATCTGAGACAAGATGAATGAGTAGATCAGAGGATATCATAGTTTATTTTTGGTTCTTTTTGCAGGAAACAAAAAAATGAATGTGGGTAGATGAAGATCTGAGTCCTATATCTTCTCTTAAATCAGGAAACATTATTCAGAATCTGTCATTCATTTGTGGTAGGAGTCTTTTAGAAGACTGGAACAGATTTTGTTGTTCAGCCTTCACATTTCATATCCCAGGAAAACCCATTTCTGGGTCATGCCTCTTCTGGGTGGGGTTTCCCAAGTCACATAGCATCTATCCACATATGAGAATAATTACAGATTCTCTTGAAAACCATGTTCTGTGATGTCCTGGCATATAGGAGGGGTTTCTTAGAGTACAGCCTACAACAGGATTTGTCACTAAGTCAGCCTCTCATTATCTACCAGATTGCCAACTTGATAGTCAAAAGTTGTATCCTGAAAAAGCATCTATGGATTAAAAAGCCGGAAGGATTATTCTGTTGCCATTGTGTGAGTGTGTGTGTGTGTGTGTGTGTGTGTGTGTGTGTTTTCCCCAAAAAGTACCTGAGAGATCAGACGGACTTTTTTTGTTTGTTTTTAAGTGGAAAAGGAGAAGAATATAGAATCATAAAGTGTTTAGGATTGAGGAAAAAAAGCCATCTGATCTACCTTTGGGGTCACTGAAGGTATGTAATCAAGAAGAGTTTTAACAATGCATTTTATTTTTCTCCTCTTGTTTTTTATTCCTTAGCTATTTCTATCTTTCTCATTTTCTATTCATCTATTCTTTTCTCCTCTAAAATTAAAAACTTTAAAGCCTATTTAAAAATATGTGTTCTATTCCAGATACCATTGTCACTCTGCATTTTTTTTCAAAATAGAAATAGATAATGAAGAATGAAAACTTTACCTTAAGTCAACATTTTTGAGGTTGAGAGAACTTCAGTTAGTCTATCTCTTATTTCATGAATCAAAAGAATGTCAAATGTACAAGGCATTCATCTTGCATTTCAAGAAAAACTGCATATAAAATGGCAAATTATAAGGTTCTTCAGCAGTTGAAAGAGAGGGGAACTGCCAGCTAGCATGTGGCATGGCAAGATGACTTTTCTCCTGTACTCAATTCCAAGTCTGACATAATTTATACTTATGGACTCTCCTTTGCCTCAGGTCTTCTTAAGTAAAAAAAAAAAAGATGATAATGGTAAAATTTGCTCAGATGGGCATGCTATAGAAGTGCAAAGCATAATTATAATAATACTCCTTTGGGCACCAAAGTACACAAAATAATAAATCAACCTAAGTAATAGCAATACTTATCCATTTTTATATAAAAAGAAAGATGTTCCTTTAAGGTCAGAAAAAATATTTGTTTTTATGATTGAAGAATATAATACCTCTTAGAAAAGGCAACATAATAGTTGGAATTTCATTCAACCAACTAATGTCTTCATATCATATTAAATACTAACAATATAATAATATTAGACTAATATTTCAGATGAACTACAACCCTAGGTCAGCAGAGGACATACTAAAGTGAAGAAGACAGAAAGGATGAAGATGTAGCTGGTTGGGGAAACCAGAGGGTTTACTGGTAAAGCTGATTGCTTTGAAATAGAGAGTTAAGGCATTTCTGAGGGATGTCATTAGTATATTTTGTCCTGCTTAAATTAGCTTGTGCAAAGCTACTATGCATCAACCTTGTGCCCAGGACATTGTGGGTCACAGGAAGAGTGCAGCTTAAGGTATATATAGAGAGCCAACCAATAGTTGGCACAGCTCCCAGCATTCCTTTGTTAGATTCTTATAAATTGTATATGTCTTATATGTCTGTGTTTGGCCATTGACTGTTTGGCGTGTGGTATCCACTGAGAAATTTAAAACATTTTTTCAATGTTTAATATTTCTCCTTCCACCTTCTCCAATCATCCCACACTGTCAATTTAAGGGGAAAAACAAAATCATAGTGTAGTCTTTTTTTCCTCTCATTTATGACAGCTCTACTATTTTTTTCAACCACTTGTTAAAATATTATTATAATTAATAGTGGTAGCAGTAGTGATGGTGGTGGTGGTAGTAGTAATGGTAGTAGTGGTAGTAGTAATAGTAGTAGTAGTGGTAGTGGTGGTGGTGGTGGTGGTAGTTGTCGTTGTTGTTGTAGTAGTAGGTGATGATGGTGGTGGTGGTAATAGTAGTAGTGGTAGTAATAAGAGTAGTAGTAGCAGTCCTAGTCATAGTGGTAGTAGTTGTAGTAGTAGTAGTAAGTGATGGTGGTGGTGGCAGTGGTGTTTTTGGAGGTATTCTGTAGCAGTGGAAAGAGCACTGGCTCCGGTGTCAGAAGATTGCTTTAAATGCCACTTCTTATGCTACTTGTGGCACCTTGGGCAACAATAGCTAGTAATTATATAGAACTTACTTTGTGACAAGCATTGTTCTAAGAGCTTTAGAAATATCATCACATTTTTATCCTCACAAGGAGCCTTGGAGGTAAGTGCTATTATTATCCCCATTTTACAGTTGAGGAAACTGAGGCATGCAGAGGTTAAGCGACTTGCCTAAGGTCACCTCTAGTATGTGTCTGAGGCTGTATTTCTAATCAGTTCTTCCTGACTTCAGGCCCAGCATTCTATCCATTGCAAAATCTTGCTGTTTCTGCAACTCAGAGCATATTGGATGGAATTTAGTTTCCTGATTTGCAAAAGGAAGAAGTCAAACTCTGAAGTCTCTTCTGGCTTTAGACCTGCAATCCTATGTGACTCTGAAACATTTCCCAAAGGGAATAATAGCGACAACAGAACACTTCTGTGGCTTACATCTGTAGCTTTAATGTTAAGCCAAATGGCTAGGAAAACCATTGAACAAATTTCAGGTTGGTGGTGGTTCTCATGCCTTCTGTTGGTCCCATCTCTCTTCATTTCTTTTCATCTAACCACTCACAATCCTGTCTTTATTCAAGGGAAATACAGAAATTACAGAGTCAGACTAGAATGAGGGCTATAAAAGAATACTACTATTTCTTAAGAATATTTGAAGAATATGATTCCTTTCAAGAGCAGAGATCTTAAATTATTGGCTCAGCAAATTAACTTCTCTAGAAAGTGTATTGCCTCCCATTACTTAAAAAAACAACAACAATTAATTAAATACTGAGAAGCTTCCAGATCCTCTCTGAAGAATGCATACTAGGAAAGTGGTAAATTTTATAGAGGATGTTTTCCAGAGCTTATAACCAACATTCAGAATAACTAAAATTATTTTGTTTGGAAATTTTTAGTGAAATCTTCCCAGGGGAGACATTATGACCCGTAGATAGAATGACAATGACATTTTTCTTGAAATTATGACAGAATTACCAGAAAAGGAAACAGAGCTTAAAGATGTGACTATATTAACTCTTCAATATCATATCAAAAGGCACACATCTAAGTATGATTAATTGAGAAAGGGTTTTATAAGTGAATTTTTAGGCTTTTTTCTCTTCAAAAGGTAAATGATACAATAAAAAAAAAGATAGATTTAATTTGCCACAGTCTACAGAAAGTTTTAGCTATGATTTGGGATAGCAAATGAATGTGTGTGAAAAAATCTTTAATTCAATTTTAATTACTCCATAAAAAGATGGAGTTCATATTGTCTTGGATATTGATCTTTGTACATAGAAATGTTTGGTGTTTTTTTTTTTTGGCTAAGCAATGGGGTTAAGTGACTTGCCCAGGGTCACACAGCTAGTAACTGTCAAGTGTTTGAGGCCGAATTTGAACTAAGGGCCTCCTGACTCCAGGGCCAGTGCTGTGTCCACTGCGCCATCTAGCTGCCCCAACACTTTTTTTTAAAAAATAATTTCTGGGGTATTTATTCAACAGCAACTTTATTACCAAGGAGCAAAGAAACTAATGCCTTGTGGTTTGGCTATTTTTAACCAACATCAGGTTAAAAAATAGCATAATGAAAAAGGTGTAACTTAAATACTACAGAATTATAATTTTAATGAGATCTTGCCTTATTAGGAAGTATAGTGATTTTGTTATATTAGAAAGATGATGAAAGATACAAAGATGTTATTATTTCAGATTTTACAATCCATACGCCATTTTTATTGTTATGGCTAAGTTTACATTTTGCCCAAAAAGTTTGAAAATATGATTTATTACATGCATGTGCATAGAGACTTTGAAGAAAACCAGCGTGCATTTGAGAAAACTATTTGGTATTGTGACTCTGCCTACATGTATCTACATAACAAATGAATCTATGGTACTTTTTGACTCATTTTTAGTCAGAAATGGAATGAAAAAAATAGAATTACATAAGAATTTGAATTGTGTCTTTGGTCTGTGCTTTGTTTTCATAGACATGATGTCATTACATTTTAGACATGGATTTTAGAGGTCTAAGTGTCAGCCTTTCTAGGTTCAGGTTCTAAAATTTATAAGTGTAACCATCTCTCAGATGCCCTGGTTGGATAAGTTTATAAACAAAAAACCAAACAAACAACCAAAAACACCGCCTTCCATATCCTGGCATTCAAAGCCCTCTGTAATACTGTTCCCACCGACCTCTCTAATGATATTTCATATTCTCCATGTAAGTCAAACTGACCTTTATTCCCTCTTTATGACATTCTATTTCCAGCTTCTACGTCTTTATATGAGATTATGTTTGAAATGCTCTCTTCACCCATACTTTGTAGAATCCTAGCTTATATTGCTTCCAAGTAGAACAATAATACAGAAAATGAATTTGGCCTTGTTATAGTCCTTTTGCTGATTAAAAACATCAGCAGTTATTCTTTTTTTAAGTGTACATATGAACACATATACTGTGTATATGTGTACATTTGTATATATGTACATGTGTGTATATAAAGATGAATCAATGTACAAGATGAATCAAAATACTTAGTATTTTGCACTAATTAATGAGAAACCTAGAACTTGAACTTGGGTCTTATGCTTGAAGCCCAGTGTACTTTAAGTTATAATATGCAGACCCATTGCCATACTGTTTTATCAATCTTCTTTCTAAAAAATATCCACTAATATAAATTGAAAAAAAATGACTTCAAGCCTTGATTAATCACCTAGAACATTATTCTGCACATAACAGTGGCTCCAAAGAGGAATAAGATACATTCTCTCTCACCTCTCCCAGAGCTTGTATAGTCTTATGAAAGATATTTTCTTCCAGTTTTTGTCTATAATAATAGCTATTCATTATCTCAAAAGGGTAAACATTATTCTAATTATGCATCACAAAGAACAGATAGGTACTGCTTTGTCATAAAATAGAAATTTTAAGTTGTAGCTCTAGGTGATAAAGAGAACAAAATCAGAAGTTGTTTTTCATTTAAAATAAAAACTGAAAGTGATAGTGGTTGACTCAGTTTGAGTTTGGTCAGATATTTTTTCTATTTTATATGCCATCTCAAAAATATTGCATTTTAGTGTTTGTCATAAGGACATATTAATAAGATTTGAGCTGAATAAAGCATGAGTTTTGTATTTACTTAGATGTTCAAGTCTCTGCAGGTAGATTTTATGTAGAGCAGTAATTGTCATTATAACTAATGTTAGAATTAATCCTTTGGCAAGTGGCAACGTGTTATAATAGAAAGGTCACTGAACTTGGAGTCAGACTTTGGTTTGAGTGTCTAGTGAGGTGAGACCTGGACAATTTACTTAGCTTCATACTTCAAACCTTAGTTTCCTCATCTGTGAAATGCGAACGATACCTTCCTTACAAAGTTGCCATGCAAAAAGTGATTTGTAAATTGTAAGATACTATATAAATATGAACTACATTATTGTTGTTGTTGTTACTAATGATTTGTTTTCTAGCATTTTGTTTTCAACCCTATCTCAGCTTACTCTGTATATGTTTGTTTTTATAGATTTCAAATGATAGGAAGAATTGGCTTTTTTCTGAAATAAGTCATCTCAAAATCTCTGTGTAGCCTCCCTCCTGCTGCTAATCCTAAAGAAGGTATAGGGAAGGGGATTATTAAATTATTGAACTATTATTTTAGTAATATGTGGATTTATGGGAACATCAAGACAAAAATCTGTTGAACTTGCAAAAAAGAAGCTAAAAGGGTGTGGATATGATTAACTAGAGAAACCAGAGAGCTCAAAAGGGTATGACAAGGTGAGGAAGAAGTAGGAAGGTGGAGATGAGCTTGATAACATCATGTATGTATAATTTTAATAAGTTTATTATTTGTCAGCTAAGTATCCCAGAAAAAAAAGAACAGAACAGTTTATAAGATACATTCGAGCCAATTATAATCTTGCATTATGTTTGTGAAAAGAAAAGGGTGGGAAACCTTAGAGTCTATCCTAGAAGCATAAACGAATAGAACCAAGCGTTTGTTTATTTGTCACTAGCACGGTTATCTTCCCATCAGTGTTCATTGCTTGTTTTTTGTACTTTGATCTTGTTGAACTGATACAAAGCCTCTGCTTTATGATGTTTCTAATAATAGGATCAAGTCCCTTATACTTTCAGCGTGAGAGACCCAAAGAGTGAAAAGAACCTGGTGCCAAATCCTACGTGGTCCTTTAAACAGGAAAAATGGGCTGTGATTGGAACTGTGGGCTCATCACAAGTGCTGTCATTGGTGGAGTACTGGCTGTATTGGGAGGCATCTTAATGCCTGTTGGAGACATGATTATTCAGAGCACAATTAAAAAGGTACATATTAGTCTGGAGGAAATTGTTGGTGACTCTGACTCTGATTTTTCTTTGTTTCTTTTCCATTTTAAGTATTATCTTCCTATTAAGAGGTCAACATAATGTTTCCTAAATATTTAGAATATAAAATAACAGTAGCTGTGCTGGTGAGGAACACTGAAAAGGACATGGAGGAGAAAAAAAAAGGATGTTTTTAAGTTAATTTAATATGGCAGTGATATGTTAACATGTCTTATTTTTATAATTAGCTATAATTAATTTCACATATCTTAGTATGATAGAAAAATGGTCATGGATTTTAAGTCAGTTATATAATATTTCTAACCCTAGTTTCTATTGATTTGACTTGAGTTGTATGGAAGAGGGTCCTTAGTACATTTCTCAATTGCAACAAATGAAAATTCTGGAAAAAGCTTCCTATAGGTCTCCATGACAGTAGCAAGGCAGTGTGTGTGTGTGTGTGTGTGTGTGTGTGTGTATGTGTGTGTGTGTGAGCTATTCCTACAAATAAACATTTTATAATGGACCAGGGAATTATCCTGATATGTTATACAATCAAAGCTGGTGAGTAGACCTCATTTTAAATTAGGATGATGAGATTTGGAGCTGGACAGCCTAGATCTTCATCAACTCCAATCCTCCCATTTTATATATTTGGAAATTGAATACTTAGAGAAGATATTCTTAATATGTTTGTTGTCATGGCCCCTTTTGAACAAATTGGTAAGGCCTATGGACTCCTTGGAATGATGTTTTTCAATATATAAAATGCATCACATTACAAAGGATATTAATTATATCAAAATACAGTTTATATATATATAACATATATATGTATAAATGTGTATGTATCTACCTATATATAATCCTATATGTGTATATATAATTTATATGCATGTACTTATGTCTACATACATTTTTTTGCGTAATATATGTGTGTATGTATATGTATATATATATATATGCATGTAAATCAAGTTAATAAACTCTAGGATAAGAATCTCTGACTTAGAGAATATCAGGGATTTATTCAAAGTCATACAAATTTTAAAAAGCAAAGCTAGGTTTGGAAACTTGGTCCTCAGACACTGAATCAAGTGCTATGCACATCGACTCAAACTATTACCTATTGTTAATTATTGAATGAAAAAGAGTTAAACTGATTTCTTCAACATTTAAAAACATAAGTGATGATATCAGTTTGAAGTTTTCTTCCATAAAAGTAGTTCGTGGCCCTTGAAGCTCTTAGTAGGCAGTTTTTCCTATTATGTCACAAATAAAATAACAGCACCAGGTAGCCAAGGCTGGTGCTAAACCTCGCTAGACTTCTCTAGTCTAGCAAGGTGGTCCTGAAAGGACAAACACAGCCCTTTGCTTGGCCATAATAAAAGCCTTTATATCTACCAGAGTTTATACTTTGGAAATAACACCTCTGAGCTCCATTCACCTCCAGTCGATGAAGAAACAGTGAAATAGGACTTTAGAAGAGGTATGCTGGTTACATGGTTTAAAAAGTCAACTCAGACTCTTGTTTTAAAATGGATGAGAGCAACTTATGGGCCTCTGGATTGATGTTTTCCAGAATTATTATTTATACTAATTGTATTTTTGAGCACTTACTGTATGCATAGCACTGTTATGAGCTTGTGTGTGAGGTATCCAAAGTAAATAAAAGAAATTACCCTGTTGTCTAGGAACTTAACAAATGTGTTACGAGTTTAATTAGGTTATATACACTTGAAACAAGTTACATCTGTGTTCTGAGATAGCCCACTTTGGCCAGTTTTAAGTGTAAGGACATTTTTTATTCTAGCAAGCCTATATCTGTCTTTCTGCAACTTAAATGTAGAGAGCATCTACTCCAGTCCTCTCACTTTACAAATGAGGAAACTGAGGCCCAGTGAGGTTTAGTGACTTGGAAGAGGATCAGCTCTACCCATTGTTCTTAATTTTTACCACTGGTTCAAGCAGAACAAGTCTAATCCCTCTTCCATGAGCTAGCCCTACAGATATTGGAAAATAACCATCATGTCCCTCTGTCTTTTCTTTCCCAAACTAAACATCTTCATATCCTTCTACCTACCACCACATAGTAAGGTTTCTCATCCTCTCGGCTCCCTGGTCACGTATTTTTCTTTATGTGCTAATGCACAGCTATATCCTTAACTAAAAGAATTTCATTGACATATCACAAGTACATTATATGTGTGTGTGTGTGTGTGTGTGTGTGTGTGCGTGTGCGTGTGTGCATGTGTGTGTGTGTATAAAACAGGCCAGGGTGAATTCTCCACATACAACCTCCCCATATTTCATCCATTTCACATTGCTTCTACAAAATATAGATTGGCAAAGAGGAAATTTTACTTTCTAGGGCAAATTCAAGCTGCTGGTAAGTGTTGAATGATATCCAGGACAGTCCCCTTAATTGAGACCAGCCTAGAGATCTTCATCTGCAAATGGTCCTCTATATTCCAAATGTAACTGATATAACTGTCCTTTAAAGTCCTTATGAAGCTATAATCTGTACTGGTAGCAGGCATTTCCACATTGAAGGATTGTAAATCTTTTGTAATATTGAAGTAATTAGCATGCATTGTTTCCTCTGTAGTCATTAACATGAAAGAAAAAAAATCAAAATCCTGAAAGCTTATTCTAATGATTGGATGTTAGAGTAGGGTAGTTGGGAATCTATTTTCCACTTATACTCAATGAAGGCAAGTAACAACTAGGTAAGGGGTGGTAGCAATGAAAAGAAGGATCCAGAAAGTTCAAACCTAGACTTGACTTCATAGATGCTTTGGAAAAGTCACTTGGCCTCCATTTCCTCTTCTGTGAAATGTGGGGATGAGCCTCTGAGGTCCCTTCTAACACTAGGCCTATGGTCCTAGGACCCTAAAATATAAGCTGAGTGAGGCAGATGCAGAAAGCTTACCCTTCCCCATGAGACTGATGATCATATATTCTGAAACAAAATTCAGAACATACTGTTTAATATATTCCTTTTTAAATGAATAATTTTTCTTCCTGCCTTCCAAATTGAACTGGAAAAATCTAGGATGCATATTCCCTTTGTCTCTGTTACCATAGAAGTCTATTCAGCATGCCAACAGAGGGAACCAAATCAATCTTCTACCTTATACTTTCTTCTTTGTCTCTCTACTGTGATTATTTTGAATATAAGAGATTAGTGAGTGATGTCTTGAGAAATGTTAGACCCAGAGGAAAAGAATTTCCAGGGAACAACAGAATTCTCCTTGTGCAAACTCTCTGGCAGCCTGGAAGGGCAGCTAGTCATAATTGTCAAAGAGATGTCTGCACTTGCTCTATTCAGCAAGAGTTTTTCAACTCTGTGAACTATAACTTCCAATAGAGCTTGCCACCAGTTCATTGAAGGATCATCAGCTCTCTAGGGTAGTACAGTAGAGTCCCAATAAGACCCAATTGGTTCAGTTGGTTGTTGTCTTTCACATTCATAGAGGACCAAAATGATGTCATTCTGTTGGGGTCGAGGTACAGTATGTCCAGTTGTGGCTGATCAGTCCAATAAAAGCTTGGAAGGCTCTACCATAGATCAGGTACAAATAATTCATATAAATATTTGGAGTGGAGATGTCTCTACATTTGTGCATCTCACATTTCTTTCTTTTTTGGAACATCTGAAGATCCATGATACTCAATCCCTTCAATAGGAAGGCTACACTTTCTAAAATATGTGTTATGGAAACTATAACATCTGAATTTTCTCCATTAAATAAGAACATGAAGGTGAGATGTAAGATGTACTGACTTTATCTATCTATCTATCTATCTATCTATCTATCTATCTATCTATCTAT